ATATCTTATTCGATTCGAACCAATAATAGCCAAATAAACTTAGGTCCTTTTGGCAATGCTACTGTGCATGATATCTGTCTCCTCTTCGGCAGGGGCGGTTTCTCCATTGGTTCATTTGTGCAGTGAACACCCAGTTAAATTTCATAAAAACACATTATTTTAAAATTACATAAATAACATAAAAATATAAATTTAATTTTAATATTTTTATTTTCATACGTGTTAATCTATATTTTTTGGTACATCATTGTCCTCTGGCTGATCGCATCTCTGTGGCACAGTATACCTAAGTATACTGTCTGTGGCGCAACACGAGTGAGGCGTATGGTGAATGCATATAACTAAAAAGAGAAGAAAACACGCCAACAGATTCTTCAAACTGTCAAAAAACACATTAATTGGCGCGCCGCTCACAAACAAGGTTGCCAAACCAGTGTGCCAGTCTAGTACAATTCACAATTGTACATTCTGCGTGTTCACGTGTAAAATATATATATTGTGTTCCTTGTTTGGGTTCGTTATCAATAAAGACCCTTTTTTCCCCTTCAATGAATTAGATGTCACTGCAAATAGAATTCGAAAAATCTGATACATTTAAGGAATCTGGTACATTTTTTAGACAAATCTGGTACATAACAAAAACATATTCTGGCAACACTGTACCAAATAAAACAAACTGTCATTTCGTTTTCTGTCATAATGAAACTTTTTTATAAAATTAAGTTTATTTTATTATTTGTGATCATTTAAAAAAATGTGTTTAATTGAGAACTGCAACTTTAATCAATTGGAAGGATGTATGTCAATTTAACGGTTGTTCCCGAAAAAGGCAAGGTGAATAAAAACTTTTTAATGTTGTTTACCCATAATAAAGTTTTACGACTGTAATTTGTTTTATATTTTGTTTCAGTGCCTAAGACCATCCAAAGACTAATTCAAAATGGTCTATTTTGTACCCAATTGTAAATACTATGAAGTAAGAAGTCAGCAAAAAATTTGTAATTTTTTTTCCCACAATTTTACCTAAGAAATGGTATGTACATTTAAATAGTTTGCCTATATAAAGTTATGTTTGCCTGTAATTATCAATCGTGTTACCTTCTAACCAAGATCGTTTGTTGCATACAAACCAGAAATCTTTTATTTTAATGACATTTTTTCAATAGTAGCAGTATTTTCAAAAATATTAGATGTTACTGTAATTTGAATCACTACAGGTATTAAGTAAAAATAAAGCTATTGGTAAATTAGTTTACAGTTGGTAATAAGAATGTCTCGAAAAAAGTCTTGAAATAAGTATCAAACATGAATTGTAATTTTGATTAGGCACTTAACAAGTCACATCCCACATATCTACATGCTCTAGCTAATCAACCCTATAAGTACATATCAAAACATTAATATACTATCTACAATTAAACAATAATTTGAAAATACAGATGAAGCCGATTTACCTATTTAAACAAAATTACTATTATTCTATTATTTATTAAAACACATTATTTTTTAGTAAACTTGGACATGCAAAAGCAGCCATGAGGGTAGGACATTAGTGAGAGCAAGAATACTTTGGAATGTGCTGTGAAAAGGAGAAGATAGTTAATTATAAAAAAAAATCAGATTAAATATGGGGGATTTAAAGTGGGTTGAAATTAAAAAAAAAAAATCAAAAATGAAAAGCGATATCAACATGAAATTTTTAGTAAAAATCAAGCTCTATAAGGAGTTGAGGCCTATTGATTGTGAAAACAATCTTTTTGAAAATGGGGGGTTAAGGGGCTCTGTTAAACTGCGAAGAGTATCATTTAGAATGCCAGGTATTATATATCTAGTTTATGTCTGTGTAATATTATGTATTGTGATGGGACTGATCTTATAAAATAAACATTTAAAAATTTTAGTTCTTATTTTATTTGTGAAAATTATTAAACTTACAATAACAACTAAAAAATGATAGGTAAAGTTTCATATAAAATTTTTTACATAAAAATCAATGTCAAGCTTTCTACATAACCTGATATATATTTAAAAATAATCTTAAAATATGAAGAAAAGTCAGTTGACTAACTAATAATGTTTATAGACGGTTTTCAACATATTAAAAACAAATATTACACTAACTAAAATATTCATTTAATAATAGTTGTAGTGCTTGAAAACAGTATGATGTTGATAATAATAACTACACTTAATACAAACCCAAATAATAAAAAAACAGCGATATTGACTCTTGTACAAAGTTTTGATCTGAACTTACAAATGATAAAATTATTGGAAAACGTGAACACCCATTTTAAATTACGACGAGCCGCCACTGCTCTTCGGTCTCTTACGAGTCTCCAGGGGCTCGTGCTATATTTTAAAATTTAATTGGTTAACTTGCGTATTTTAGTATATTAGTTTTATCTAATTTTTATGCTTTTAATTAATAGTTGATAAACGTCAATCTAAAAGTATTGTTTAAAGAATCAAATGATATTAAGACTTTTCATAATTTCCAAAGATTAATTAAGTTGAAGACGTTTTTATCAATTAACTGTTTGTACAAGCAACAAAAGTTATAATACTTGAATATGTATTGGTTGTACAGTATCAATTAAAATTATCATAAATTTTATTTTAATATATTTTGCGTGTTACCAAACCCCTTGCCAATCTTGGGGAGGGCCAGAGAAAGAAAAACCTAAATACAAATTTTCTTAAATGACCAAAATAGCAACAACAATATAAGTTGCATAAGTTTCACTATCTTAATATAAAATTTTTTGCTAGTATGAGTAATCACAACAAATACGATAACTTTAACTCCATAAAATATATTATTCATTAATGCGTAGTTGCTATATTTATTTTTAAACAGTGAAATTCGAGCAATTCAAAAAATATTTTTATTTTCGACTTTTGTTTTGAAGTCTTTTAATAATACGCAATAAAAAATAAATAAAACTGTATTAATGACAGCAGACCAACTTCAATAGACTGGAAGCTGGCCTCCGAGATCACAAGATCACGCAGGATTAGTTGGGAAATCAACAAATTCAAGCTGTCCAATCCCCGGGATCGGATGGAATATATCCTATTCTACTCTAGAAGGGTAAGGATGTGTTAATGCTACATCTATGTAAAATCTTCAACAATCTATCAAAATGCGAAAGTACAGACCAAACGCCAAAGTCATATCGTCCTATAAGCCTATCCTCCTTACTAAAAACACTAGAAAGGAACGAGATATTAGACATAAATTCGCTCCATCCCAACCAATATGCATACCAGCCATTAAAGTCAACTGACCTAGTGCTGGACGGTCTATAGAGGTTGTTTTCAAAGACAATAATAGGTTCTAGAACAGAAAAACGTCTCATTCACAATATCCCAATGGATCACTGCCAGCCTAAAGAAGGGAACTATTTTTTATTCCTTTGAATTCAAGAATAGCTACACTGAATTCAGAGAGGTCAAATAATTCATTAAGGATTATATCCTCCTTTGTTACTATAAAAGCTAATAAGATTGATAGATAGGTGTATGAGGGACGAGATATTAGAAATGCTCCATCCCAACCAATATACCAGCTCAGAAAGTCAACCTAGCTAGCACTGGACGATATAAATTCACAGTCAATAGATGACAAAGAAATCGCAATAGCCGCTTTCTTAGATATCGAAGGAGCTTTCAATAATGCCTCAACCAGGTCAATAACGAAGGCTCGAAGGTCTAGAACAGAAAAAATCCCACTCACAATATGCCAATGGATTACTGCCAGCCTACGGAATTGGAGCATTTTATCCGCTCTAGGAAAGGTACTCAAACAAGCAAAAGTTGTGGCCAGTTTTAATGGACGACCAACTCAAAACATTGACGTGGAATCAACATTTCAAAAAAATTCGTTAGTTCTAGTAAACTGCAGAAGAATATGAGGGAAAAACTGGGGTCTAAGCACCAACATGACCATATGGTTATACACAAGAGTGATAGCCGATATCGCAATGACGTGGGTAACCAAAACTGCGCAGACAAGTGCAATAAGCTAACTTACCGGCATTTAGCGACTCGCCTGCCTGAGCGACACAGAAGCCATGTGTAATACACCAATTGCTTCAATGAATGTAATAAACCTCACGTCACTGCACATCTTCATACAAGGAAAAATGAGGTCCGTCATTCACATGCTAATTCAGGGACAAAACCTATTAAGCCAAATATAAAGCGTTGACCATACAAGGCTATACCAGCAAGTGGATAAGTTTCTAAGAATGCCTAATGATATAGCCATGACCACATACAATTTTTTTAAAAAAATTCAAATTCAAATAGAAGCCCAATACCGGAAAAAGGGGCCTCCCATACAGGGTGACCTTGTCTGGCATACAGATGGTTCAAAAACTAAGAAAGGAGCCAGTGATGGATCTTTGGATCCAAGTAGAAATCAACGATTTCGCTGAGTCTAAGAGAATACGCAAGAGTGTTCCAGGCCAAATTAATAGCCATACAACATTATGCAAGATAAATAATAAACTCAGCAAGTATCAGGCAAAATTATTGCCATCTACTCTAATAGCAGCTTCAAAGGTAATTTTCTCACCAGAAATCATATCACGACCAGTAAAAGACTGCCTGGAAGACTTGACAGAGGTAAATAGTCAAAACAAAGTGACCTTTAAAAGCAATTATCTCACAAACAATATAAATTTCATTTACCAGCATATTCTCAATCTAAAACAATAAAAAATCAAATTCTGCATGATCCTTTCTATTAGCAAAGTTTTCAGAGCAAATAATAAATAATAGCCATGTATATATTTTTAAATATTATGGTAAAACCAATTATGTACATTAAAAAATACCAATTAAATAGAAGCCCAGTATTAAACTGTCATTTAAAGTGCTTTATAATAGACATTATTTGCAATAATAATTTAAGTATCATATAGTTAGTTGTTAATGTTTGCAATAGCATTTTAAAATAACGATGGAAAACTGATGTAAATAAAAAATCTTACCTTTACATTTTACGCCGACTTTACCCTGGCCCCAAATATAATCTTTGCCTGAAACAAAAAACATATTATCAAGAGGAGTTCCACAAGGATCTATTTCTATAATTACAATACTTTGGTCTAGTTTTTCTAACACCCCGAGATATTAGAGAAAGCCATTAATCATATGAAGATTTAAAATTAACAATATCAATTAAAATAAGTGTGTGCTTTTGCCAAAAGGCATAATAAGGACGAACAGAGGAAGTGAGAAGTCTGAACAAGTCCTCTTGAAAAGAGAAAATAAAGCTACCCGTTAGGTGCTGTTCCAGAGAAATTAGTTATAATTTCCCTAAACCCTAACCAATTATTTATTCAAATCTTTCCAATGCCTACTGATTAATTATTCGGTTTAGCCGCATTTGGATAACATTTTTGTTCTTTGCCAACATTTTTGAATCGATAAATATTAAACAATAAATTAGCTCAATTGAAAAACACCATATTTTCCTCACCACAATAATTTTATTCGAAACTTAAAACGTACAAAAACCTGAGCACGGTGACACCGAGAATCGGAAAGCCCTTCATGGGATATTTTTAGTTTACAGACCATTGTAAAATTTGCAAATAGATTCGATCATCCTGTTTATATGCAACATTGTACGCTTATATAGTACGTTAACCGGCGCATCAATCAAAATAAAGATGAGACGCTTAATTATATTTGGGCGTGAGAGGGATAAGATAGTAACCACACCCTTTCGACGACAAGAAAGATATATTGTAGTCTGCAGTGAGCAATGTATTCTATCTCTCTCTATTTAATAGCATTGTGTTTCTATACCATTCTTCTGGAGTTAGAATTGAAAAGTTAACATATTTTATAGTAATAGACAACGCAGTGTACTTGTAAATGCGTCGGCTTTCGGCTCAAAATCACCCTGTTAGAGCTCGGTGCGAGCCCACGTATAATTTATTTTTTTAAAATGATATTAATTTAATTAAATACTGTTCAGCGAAAAAGACCGTAAATTAAATAAATCTTTTTTTATTTTTTAAAGCTATATTAAACAAATTAAGTACAATTTAGTGATTGACTAAATAAAATTTAAATCATAATTACAAATTTTTGAGGTAATTATTTTTAAAATAAAATTGATTTATAATATTTAAATTTTTTCTACACGCAAATGTATATTATCCACCTTCTGCATAACCTACAGAACGAATAACTAGACGATATCAGTCTACTAAACTGAGATAATTTCATCAGTTCTATAGTTTATTTGGAAATGCATGATAGCACAGTTTTTGTGGCAAAGGATTGTTCAAAGTAGAAAAAAAAGTAAATATTGATACCTTCCTATCTGAATTTTCATTAGATTTTAGTATAATCATCCCGAAAAATCTCGAATACAATACATCATAAAATGTACCTTTTATATAAATGATAAATTTGAATTAAACTAGCTATCTAAAATCAATTTAATTATCAGTATTAAAAAATATATTAGCGCAGAGGCAGAGTACGGACTTTTCATGCAACAAACATTTCTGGGTTCAAATACAGGATGAATAAATACTAATTAAAATATTTTTTTTCTAGTTTATTTTATTATATAAAATACTAGCTGTTACCCACGGCTTTAGTCGCGACTTTGCTCGCATGTAGTCGTGTTATTAATATAAAAAATACATGACTTCCTTTTTTATTGATTTCATTCATTTTTTTTATGTTTATTCATTTTTATTTATTTTTACTCATTTTTAACTATTTTTATTCATTTTTATTCATTTTTATTCATTTTTATTCATTTTTATTCATTTTTATTCATTTTTATTCATTTTTATTCATTTTTATTCATTTTTATTCATTTTAATTCATTTTTATTTATTTTTGCTTATTACTTTTATTAATTTTTATTTATATTTATTTTTATTCAATTGTATTCATTTTTATACATTTTTATTAATTTTTATTAATTTTTATTAATTTTTATTAATTTTTATTAATTTTTATTAATTTTTATTAATTTTTATTAATTTTTATTACTTTTTAATAATTTTTTATTAATTTTAATTAATTTTTAATAATTATTTTTTTTTAATTTTAGTTTATTTTTATGATACTACCATACAAAAATCTAAAAACCACAGAGCACGTCATTATTTAATAATGCTACAATTATAATTTTCAAGTTCCAACGTTCAAAAAATTTATACTTCTATACAAATTTTCACCCCTGTTCCCCCCCCCCCCCCTTAAAAAGTGAAAATCTAAAAACCATGAAACACATCATCATTTTTGATTTTTAATCAGTAGCTGTAATTCAAATTTTTATGTTTCAAACTTTAAATACCAAAAATATATAGATATTAAACAAAATTTCACCCCCATTTCCCCCTTTAAAATGTTAAAATGCAAAAACCCTAAAACACTTCATTATTTATTTATGATGAGAACCTACAATTCCAATTTTCAGTTCCTACCTTTAAAAAATCGATATTTCCAAATAAACTTTCACCTCCCGTTACCCCCCTTAAAATATGGATATGCTTCTGTACTTGGCAATGACCAGTCAGAATGCCTGTGACCACGCACAGATTCTGTCTAGTCATATTATGTTTACTGTTTTGTTACGATAACTTAAAAGTTCCCTGGCAACTCTGCAGTTCCTTGTTTTATCGCATGTTTTCTTGAATTTCACAAGGGAATGTTCTTTAATTAGGTCTGTCACTACTGATGTTGTCAATCCAAAAGAGGTGCCAGGACTAAAAAGTATTTGGTTGGCTGCCTTCTTGACTAGTGAATTACCTTTTAATGTGTCGTGACCTTTGATCCATCTTAAGGTGACCACATTGATGATGGATACTTCTACCAAAACTTCGTTACATTCTAGTACTAACCTTGAGTAAATTCGTGGTCTGCTCAGGGTGAGTAATGCTTGTCTACTATCTGTATAGATGAGCATGTTCCTTCCAGTGTTTCTGGTAATTTCTTTTGCTGCTATGAGAATTCCCGTGAGCTCGGTTTAAATTACACAGGCGCTATTGCTCACAGCCCATTTTATGTTTAGGTTTAAGGAATATATTCCACATCCTGAGCCTCGATTTATTTTAGAACCGTCAGTGTAGATATGAATCGTACCTACCACTTCCGGCTCTTCTATTTGTTCTGTTATAACTTTATATCACTAGAGTACAGTAAGTTAGTTAATAGTTGTAGTGTTTGAAAACAGTATGCTATTGATAATAATAACTACACTTAAATAAAAAAAAACAGCAATATTGGCGCTTGTACAAACTTTTGAACCCAACTTGGAAATTATTGGAAAAACAGCCATTTTAAATTATCACGAGCTAATATTGTTTTCGGTAAGACGAGTAGTAATTTTAAGCATTGCTACAAATTGGGCCAAAAATTGTTTTTTTTTAATATCTTCATTTGGCAACTAAAACATCAATTAGTAAAAAAAAAATATTATTTCATGTATGAATCTTTCATATAAAAATCAACGTGACAAATAAAACAATATTTTTTCTTCTATTCAACCGAAAGGTCAATCTGTACTTTGACACGAGTCATTTTTTTAATGATTAGCTGTGTTAAGAATGAGAAATTAAAGGTTTTACACGTAGAGATTTAGTGGTTCCAGTCTAAACACCAGTTGAACTTTCACGCCTGGCGCCTGTAGAGAGGCATACGTGTATGGCTAGTTTATCTCGCCAGTATAAATGAATATTCATGAGTGTTGGTTATTCTACATTTAAAAATGACATAGCATCTACCGAATAGATGCCGCAGGCAGGCTTTGAATGCACTGGGCACTTTTGAAAATTTAACAGTACATTTTACCGATATTTAGTTAAGAAACACAAAACGGACGTGAAACACCAGAAACATCTCGATGGAACCTTTATAGCCAGATTTCCTAGTTTTAATTTTTTTTTGATATAATTATTTTGTGGTCACAGTAAAAATATTGTAAATAACTTGTGTGAAAGTGATTTTTCACACTCGTAATGTAATATACTTTTTATTCGCGTGAGGAAAGTTAATACTTTCCGCACTATTTTTGGATTCTGAAAATAAAAACATTGGATTTAATAAGAGAATAGACATTTTATGCACGTGTTGTCATGAAACTAGGCCTACAACAACTTGCCATTTTTTAATTAATATTATTAACCATAAATAATAAATACATTTTTAAAATCTATTTTTTTTTGTTAAGTACTTTCCTCACGTGCGTAGAAAAATGTTGTACCTAACACTTGTGTAAAGTGTCTTTTTAAGCCTTTGATTGCTAAATGTATAATTTTCTCTACTATTTTATCTAAGATTAAATATGGGATTCTATATACTTTTTTGTTATCTTATTCTCATCATATTCTGTATTAAAATATCTAACAGCACTGGCTTACATTATTACTTTCGTATTCACCAATTGGTGATATGTCAATTTGGTCACATGGGATACGGGTATTGTCGAAGATTACATATTTAAATGTATTTTATAAAAAAAAGAATCTGTTTCCTGTGAAAACAAAAATACTATGCACTATTAACTTACTTTATTTATCTTTAAACAAATATGTTGTTGCTTAAAAAATTTTCATAACCTACATCACTAACAAAAGAGTTCTGGTAGACTAAAAATAGCAATTTTTGTGATATTACTGATAAAATTTTGCCTATCCAACCTTGTAAAAACCACATCATGTTATCAAAACTTGTTTAAGCATTCAAAAATGTTTCTAAATCTATATTATACAGGGTGCTCTAACGTTGATATAGTTTAAGCAAATATTGATACTTTGAATATACCTAAACTATTTGAAACAAGATGTTGTTTCGTGTATGAAATTTTTTAAATAAAGAATAATTGTAACTGCACCAGAAGATGAAAAAACTATAATTGACCGATCATATCAAAAAAGATTTGTTTTTGAAAAATTTTATGTTTATACTCGTAACTGTAGTTGATTATTTTGCTACAAAGTCCAAACTTCTCGAAGGGAATGTCAGTAAAGTCTGCTGGAAAGAAAATGGCAACTTTTGACCAACT